TATTGAGTTTTGTTTGTTTTGAAACAGAGTTTCACACTGTAGCCCAGGCTAGCCTTTAATGTGTGACAATCCTCCTACTGAGGTTTCCTGAGTCCTGGGATCACAAGCAAGAACCACCATCCCAGTGGACATTTTATTCTTATTTTTGTTCTGTTTTAATAGAAAAGGTACATATTTTTTTGTGTCTACAGGAAAGAAAGAAGGGAGGGAGGGAGGGACGGAGGGAGGACAGATGGACAGACAGAAGGACTATTAGAAACCCCACAGGCATCCAGAGTCCAGGATATCACATTATTTGAAAAGCTGCTATGTACAAAACTCAGGCAGCTTTCTGAGCAGCTACAGGATCAATCTAGAAGTGTCTCAGACTTCGAATCCAGCAAAAATTCTGCTTGAGACTTGACCAGGAACTGAGTAGGTTTCTAAGGCCAGCTGCACAAGATTTCTTTTGGCTTGTTTGTTTTAGTTTTTTTGGCTGGATGGATGGTTGGGTGGTAGATTGGTTAGTTGGTTGGATGGTTGGTTGGTTGGTTGGTTGATTGGTTGGTAAGATGGTTGGTTAGTTGGATGGATGGTTGAATAATTGGCTGGTTAGTTGGATGGTTGGTTGCTTGACTATATGGTTGATTAGTTTAGACAGGGTCTCACTATGGGGCCCTGATTATCCTAGAACTCACTTTATGAACAAGGCTGGCCTTGAACTCACAGAGATCTGCCTGCCTCTACCTCCCAAATGCTACGACTAAAAGTGTGCACCACCTCGCCCAGCAGGACAGGATTTCTTAAGTTAGACATCTTTTGTGCCTTTTTCAGATACATAACTCCTGTGGAGGATAAGCAGATATCTCCTGAGGCTAGCCCATTTCACCTAGTTGCCCATTACCTATATTCCCACCAGGTTGCTGGTTTAGAAGACGCTGGTGATTAGTCTTTCCCCTCTAAGCAATAACGACAAACTAAGGAGAACTCCTCAAGCACTTGGTCAGGTTGGATGCCTCATTTCCATGGAAACACAGAGGAGGAATTTGAGGACCTGGGTGTGAGTATAGAGACTGTCTGAGGAGTCAAGGGAGCAGCAGGGATTGTGGCCATTCCACTTCTATCCTGTCCACCCCAGTTTCTCTTCCAGGTCACAGGCTCTCCTTCGTCCAGTTCATATGCTAGGATGCTTATCCTCTGTGTTCCATCTGAGTCTCCAGACAACGCAGAAGAGACTTTCACAGATAGAGTAGAAGTGTGCTGGGTGCCCTGGTGTGGTTTAGGTTCACACCTCTTTCTGCCTCGTCCTTGCTGGTCTCCCTGGCATCATCAGGCCCTTCATTCACGCCCCTCCGGTCACAGTGACCATGCTGGCCTCCTTTCTTTCTCCTTTTGTTCCCCCACACCCCATCTTTTTCTGTTCCAGGCCCACTTTGGGCAGTGCTCTCTCAGCCTCCACTGGGGAGCTACCTGAACCGTATTCCAGAAAGGACAGGTGCTTTTCTCTGGGCAGGCAGACTGCCAGGGCAGGGTCAGAGCCAAGCTGATGCAGAATAGGCTGGCAGGAAGCCCCTCCAGGTCCCACCAAGTCTGTCTGCTCTCCTCTCTGTGGATGCCCCATATGGCTTCAGGTGCAAAAAAGACTTAAGCTGAGAAGTTGTTTCAGTGTGTGTGTGTGTGTGTGTGTGTGTGTGTGTGTGTGTGTGAATCCCCACACATGTTGGGGTGGGGGGCTCATCTGAGTGTGCTCATGTGGAGGTCAGAGGTTATCAAATGTCTCCGTTTATCACTCTCCTCCTTGTTTTTAAGACTGGATCTCTCAATCAACTTGAAGATTGTCATTTCAGCTAGACAGTGTGGCCAGCAAGCCCCCGTGTTCTGCCAATCTCTGCCAACCCCATCGGCTGGGGTTACAGACACACACTGCCATGCTCAGATTTTACATGGGTGCTGGGCATTAGAACTCTGACCCTGGTGCATGCTCAGCAAACTCTTTGCCTGCTGAGCATCTCTCCAGCCCTCTTTATTGGGTCTCTTTTTAATTATCATTATTTTTTCACTTTATTTTATGCATGTGGGTGTTTTCCCTTTATGTATGCCTATGTACCACATACATGAAATGTCCACAGAAGCCAGAGAGGGTTTCAGATCCCCTGGAACTTTATAAATGGTTGTGAGCTAGCATGAACCAAACTGGGTCCTCTGCAAGAGCAGCCAATGATCTTAACGCTGAGCCTTCTCTCCAGCCCTCTTGACTGGGTCTTAGAACCAAACACACAAATGACAGTATTTTGCACTTTAATAGGTTCACAGTGGGAATGTTTTCATTTTCTCTGAGGATCTAAAGATCCTGTAGAACACAGTCTGGCTAAAGGGGAAGAACATTCTGGAATGCTTAAATCCCAGAAGTTCAGTGTTCATCAGCTAAGCCCTCAGACCCAGGTTCAGGCACTCATTTCTTTCTTTGCCTCCTGTCTCTTCTCTCCCACACTTGACCACTGCCCACCCAGCTGCCCAGAGTGACCAGGGATAGAAGTCACAGAACCGGGAAAAAACTGAGACAGCCGCCCTGGACATCGATGACTCCAGCATCTACTGTGGGTGAGGCCGGACAGTCTAGGGCTCTGGAGGAGGGAACAAAGAAAGCCAGGGTGGTGAGAGACCTTGGCAGGGGACAGAGGCGGCCCACAGCAGGAGAGGGGGAGATACAGACCCTGAAGAGCTGGGGAGGGTGGGGGTCCTGTGGATACTGCCGCTGCCTTCTCTGCTACTCAGAATCAGTAGTCAAGTTCAAGCTTGCCAGGTTTTATCATTATGAGCTCTGCACTCCTCAGTAGGGATCACCCACTCACTGTCTGGGAGGCTGTGTAGTGAGTCAGCCTGGCCACATTTCACTCTACACAGCGGTCAAAGTCCAGAATGGAGTGCAAAGGCTGGGGCTCGCCTGGAGCAGGTGTTCTTACACTGCATCTGACCTTGAACTGGAAACTCATTAGAAAGAAACCGAATTGTCACATCCAGAGCAAGGCACTAGGAGGTCAGATGACCAAAAAAAAATCTCAATTTCAGACCAGTAGTGGAAGGACTGACCTGGGTATGTTTCCCTCAAGATGACAATTGAAATACTCAGTGGCTTTTCGGGTGCCTAGAAGATGCTATAGCAAGCTGTCCGGTGAGTCGCGGGCACTTCCTGTAACACAGACATTTCTAGGGCTTGCACAGAGTCTTGCAGTTTCCAGTGACTGCTGCCAGGCACACGGAGGAGACATGTGAAGCACTGTGTACACAGTGACTGTTTGGGTTGTAACAGTTCCCACGGCAGAGCTCCTGCCAAGCGGTACTTGGGTTTCTACACCGCCCACCAGGCATACGGAGACTTGGCTGGAAAGAGCTCCGCGGGAGCCCACTTGGCCCAAGAGGACTTCCCACCAAAGGTGCTAAGGACTAGGAGTCTTGTGCAGCTGGGCTAAGCAGTCTCCCTAATGACACAGGCGGTGATATGCACGCACACAGGGCCAGCCAACACTGGTGAGCTTCTTGAGGACTGACAGAGGCCTAAGGTCCAGCAGAAGTTGCTTTCAAGAAAGTCCTGGTCTCGGGGCTAGGAAGACGATTCAGTAGTTGGGAGCAGGTACTGTTCTTCCAGAGGACCCCAGTTGAGTTCAAAAGTCACAACCACCTGTAACTCCAGCTCCAAGGGATCCAGCACCCTCTTCTGGCCCCCATTGACATCTGTACTCATATGCACAGATACCACACCTAGGCATAGTTAAAAATAAAATAAAACCTTAAAAAAAAAAAAAAAAAAGAAAGAATCTTCATCAATATTCCAGCATGTGTGGGGAAAGGGATCATGAGGTCCCACCCCTCACTGAGATCCTATATGCCCCATGGTAATGGTTGTTGGGGGTGTGTGTGTCATATTTCAGTGGTGTAGTCACACACACACACACACACACACACACACACACACACACACACACACACACCATGAAAGCAGGACAGAGGTCATTGGGAAGAAGAAATGGTTAGTGGGAAGGAAAAGGCTTCTTAGTGAGGATAAGAGAGAACTATAATAAAGCATAATACATATGTCTCCATGGACAGATATGAAATAATAAATATTTTTAAAAAGAAATAACAAGTCATTCACTATTTAACACCAATGAGCACAAAGTGGAACTCTACCTGCATGGGAGTGGCAAGCACGCCTCTCTGCAGCCCCGAACAGGTACCAGGCATCATGCAGAGTGGGACACCCCTCAGGTGAGACAGGCATGTGTGTTTCCGGCCTTTCTCCCATGTGGAGAGCAGGGGAAGAGCCCTGAACCCTTAGCATCTGCCTCCACAGTACAGCTAAGGAAAGAGAGCTTCTCACAGCCCAAGAGGAGGATGAGGGACCTGGAATAAAGAGAGAGGAAGAGACAGGGAACAGATGAAACATGGTGTTGGGAGTTTTGCAGGGTGCCACCATCGTGGACCATCCTCTTGGGCCCCTAAATTCTGCACCCCTCTGGTAAGGGATCTCCCTTTTTAGAAGGCAGACTTTCCTTCACAATACAACCTGAAATGCCAGGGGCTCGAGTTCCCAGTTTCTCTACAGGAAGATGTGGCCTCAGAGCTCCACCAATCAGATAAACTCACACAGCATTTGAATCAGAAGTTGGTGACATGAAGCCCTCAGTAAAATCATTTGTCAAAGCCAGTGAGATGGCTCTGTGGGTAAAGACACTGGCTGCCAACACAGTGAGAGTCCCATTGGATCTCAAAGGAATAAAGTAAAAAAAAAAAATATAGAGCAGGGAACCAGAGATCATTCCCTAGGGTGTACACATGTGCACCCATGCACACACACACCTCAGAAATAAATAAATCCAGGTATCAGGAACAAGGGAGATTGCCATGTTATTGGACTAAGTCAAGAACATGGAAACCTAGATTTACTTTAGTTTTAGGTTTTTTGTATTTATTATTATTGTTGTTGTTGTTCTTATATTATACATATTAGTGCTTTGCCTGCATATGTATAGGAGCACTTCCCTCAGAGTTCAGAAGAGGGTGTTGGGTCCCCTGGAACTGGAGTCACAAGAGAAGTTGTGAGCTTCTATGTGGATGCTGAGGATTAAGTCAAGGTCCTCAGGAAGAGCAGCCAGTGCTCTTAACCACTGAGCCATCTCTCCAGCCATTTTATTTCTTAATTTTTTAAAAGGTTTACTTTTATTTGTGTGTGTGTGTGTGTGTGTGTGTGTGTACCACATGTGTGCAGTTACCAGAGGAGACCAGAAGAAGGTGCCAGATCCCCTGGAGCTGGAGTTATAGGTGGCTATGTAGATTCTGGGAATTGAACTTGGAACCTTTGGAAGACCAGCACATGCTCTGAACCTCTGAACTATCTCTCCAGCCCCCTGGTTATACACACAGTGCACACTGGATCTTATAAATGCCAGGAAGATACTCACCAACATGTTCACATTGGATGCTCTAAGAAAAAAGTCTTTTTTTATTTTTTAAAAAGCCATATTTATGTATTATTTTTAATGCTTTAAAATTTTAAAATAAAAAAGCAACATATTATTCTAAAAATATATTAATGTCAATATAAAAGGAAAGATAAAATATGCGTTCTAGAAAAAGATAGGCCTCTTAAAGGGGCAGGTGGTAAAAGATCTGTGGACTTTTAATGTCCATTGAGTCTCTAAATCAATCTGTGGAACTAACAGGACTGTCTATACTTTTCATTTTTATTTTTAATTTGGAACATCTTTGTGTTACTTTATATTGTGTGTGCAGTAATTTTTTTAACATACTAAACAGGGAGCAAAAGGCTAGCTCCACTCTTCATTAGGCCTAAGGTAAGACCAGAGAGGACAAGAAGAAACCAATCTTCCCAGAAGCAGGTGGGAGGCAAAAGTCCTGCAAATCCCATCTGTAGACCCGCAGTGGCTCCAAAGTCACTACTGTTAAGCTGAAAAGACTGTATTTGCAGCTTAAAAATGAGAGTCATTAAAAATTATGGTATGCTTATACAATGGAATATTACTCAGTAATAAAAAGAGAATTGTTGCAGATATCCATAGCAGCATGTAAAATCTCACAGACATCTTGTTAAAGACCCAGGCAACAACCATCTAATCTAATTTCTATGAAATTCTGGAAAGGGCGGATTATGACAACAGAAGGCGAGAGGTGGCGTCTTGGCTGCAAAGGATTAAGAGGGGACGTGCAAGATGACAGGTCTTGAACTTCGCCAGTTAAAACGTGTTTAACTTTATTATGATGATGTTTACCTTGGTGTACGCGTTTATTAAATCTTGTCATATACTGAAAACCGGTGCATTTTATTGCACTCAAAGTCTATGGCACCCTGAATGCTGTAACCTTACGCTTTCGTCGTCCGAGAGAGGATGGTGTCCTTTTTAACCACTTTTCCTCTTTCCCAGGTTAATAAAGGCACAGTTTCTGATCCTCTGCTCGTTGAAGAAAATTAGACGCCCTTTGTTGACCACGTGGAGTCCCCTCCCCCTTTTTAAAGATAAGGTCTCCTTACGCAGCCCAGCCAACAGCCGGTCTCACACTCTGGGTCCTACTGCCTCAGCCTCCCAGGATTGTAGACCTCCACCACCTGCTGACTGGCTGTTCCCTCCTTCATTTCTTCTTTCCTTTCCTCTTTTTAGGTCTTTCCTTCTTCATCTCCCCTTCCTTCCCCCCCCCCCCCCTCCCCCCCCACCACAGGGTTTTGCATGCAGCCTTGCCTGATTTGGCCTCACTATGAAACTCCAGTCATCCTGGAACTTTCAGCAATCTGTCCACCTTTGCCTCCCGAGCCCTGGGGCTCATCGGTGTGCCACCAGGCCTGGCTCTGTGTTTTTTTTTTAAGTAACATCCTTCGTCAGGCATTTCTTCTGCCTGTTTTTATTGTGATCTCTTTTATTTTTCTTAGTTATTTCTGCAGGCTCTTTGCATATTGAAAATATTAACCCCTTGCCTCCTGGGTTACAGCTCCTGTTTTGTATGTGGTCTGATCAGTGCTCTTGCAGGATCATGGGGTAACTGTACCAATATTACTTTCATTATTTCCACTCTGTATGCTTGTAAAAGTCCTTATCACAAGGATGAAATGTGATTCTTCTAGACTTTATTAGGGATGGCTAACGAGTCCACTGACTGATTTTTTTCAAAACCTTACTTCAAACTGTCCTTAGGAAGGAGAAGGCAGCCCCAGTTGAGAAACACTGACCTACGCTTTGCCTGCTTTCCCCACACGGTAAATTCTCATATACAATAGCACTTTAGTCTATTTCTTAGTTTTCTACTCTATTCCAATAACATGATGCCTGTTCTTGGGCTAGTAGTACTCAACTATTTTCAGTATTGCAGTTTTATATTCATTTTAAACTCATTTCTAGTTCTCCCAGACTTTTTTTTTTTTTAATCCTCCTGAGAAGAAAATCTTATTGAACAATCAGGCAGAACTGAAAGAAGAGAGACCCTGGCACAATCTGCGGGATGGGATCACCAGGGCACCTTAACATCAAGGCAATGTGACTGGGGTGAGGCCCTCAGGCCCGCAGCTGCCTGGGGCTGATAGGTGAAAAGGCGCCAGATACACCAAAACCAGGGGGAGGGAGCAGAGTTTTGACCTGCGGGTACTAAGTTGGGATGGGGAAGGATGGAGGCAGGACACAGGGGCCGGTTCACAGGGTAGATGCATTTCTGCTGCCCCCATGCATAGGCTCACTGATTGCAGGGGCTTAACCATGGGGGGCCTGGAGTAGGTGAGGGAGTCCTGCCTGCCTGCCTGACTGCTGGATCACACACACAGGCACAAGGGCACACACACACACACACACACACACACACACACACGGCAGGGAACTGAAGCCTTTCTGACCTCTAAGAAGGGTCCTCCCTCTACCAGGGGATGCCAGGATGAGCCAGCCAGCCAGGGCTGCCTGCCCAGGAACCCACCGTCCAAGAGGGCTTGTAGCGCTGTCTCCCAAAACATCAGAGATTTCCATCTCTTCCAAACCTCTCTATTGAGAGCATGCCTGGCACCGGGCGGGGCTGTTTCAGGATTGTTGCAATTGTGAGGAAGCAGCCCAAACTGGTCTGGACCACTGGCCATCTTGAGAAGGGCGCAGCAAGGGCAGAGAGGCGTCATACAGTAGCTTACTGATAGGGCCAGCTTCTTGCCTCCATTCTTGTCAAAGACTTGGACAGGTGCTCCGTGGATGGAAACCTGAGGCTGCATGCTCCCCACCTCACAAACAATCCCAGCAAAAGTCCCCAAAGTCACCCTGAATAGACTAGAGTTTTTCATATGTCTGTCCTGGATGAAGATAGATTTAACCTGTCTTGACTGGCTTCAAGCTGGGATCACTTACGTGCCTGGCAGAAATCTGCAACTTCCGGGAACAGGGAAGGGGTGGATACTGGGATACCTCCCACCCCTCATGTGTGCTCTGCCCCAGTACTGAAGAAACTCACAGGGAAGGAGGCTCAAAGTACTCGTCTCATCGAAGAAACTCTCTCCAACGTCTTGACACTCATAACCTCACCTTCATTACATCCTTAGCATTTCTTGCCAACCCCGGGATTCAAAAACCCTATGAGGCCAGGGTAAGGCTAACAGCACAGGAAATTCATGTGGCCTCAACTCCAGACAAAGTCAAATTCTTACTGCATGCTCTGACTTATCCCTCGACAAAAAGCAAAACCCTATGTGACAAAGATCATGAAGTAGCATTTTGTCTACAAAATAATGTGGTGTTATTACAGCCAAAAAGGCCCTCAAGACCCCCATCTGGCTGCCCCTGCCCCCCACCCTCATTCTCACCCTTGCCCCTGAGAGTCAAGAAGGCTTAGACAGAAAGGAGCAAGGAGGTAACCATCCCCCGGTGTCTGCCAATCCAGGGCTCTGCAAAGCAATACCAGGAACAGCCTCCCTATCTCTGCAAAACATGCATCTTCTCTGCCTGCCTGACATTTTCTTATCATCCTACCTCATCAAGTAACCCAGTGCCTCCTACCCATGAACTCTGCCCTGTTCAGTAGAAAGTTCTGAAAAGTCAAGGTGGAGAGGCTGGGGACAAAGCCAGGCTTGGCCTGTGATGGTCCCTGTGTCTCAAGGATCTCCTGTAGACCACACTGGGAAAGCCCACATCACATGGCAGCATTCAGTAATATTATCACTGTCTTCAGTCATGTTTGTGGATAGGGCTGTGTTTAGCCTAATGCTGTATCTTGTCTCATTTTTGGACCCTTTAACTAATTAATTTGTGACGGGGTTGGTGTGGGGTAGGAGGTGGGGCAGAGGGAGGCGTGTGCCCAAGTACCTTTGTGTCAGGGCACAGTTTATAGGAGTCAGTTCTTTCTGCTACCATGTAGGTCCCAGGGGACAGTAATTATGCCGTCAGTCTAGGCAACAGGCACCTTTAATCCACTGAGTCATCTTTGCCAACCCTATATTGTTTATAGAGGAAAATTAATAATAATTTAAGACCGCAAGTTCAAATTTGGTTAATTTGGGATTAACCAAACCCCAAAAGAGCTAAAATAACCCCTTGGGCTTAATTTTCCTTCTTTCAAATCATACACTTATTTTTATTGGCTTTAAAGACCCCAAAGTACAGGCCCCAAGTTTCATGTGGAGACTACTTTCCCTGCTCACACTGGAGCTTTGGGGGCATCCATCTGGCATCCAGACAACCAGAGGCTTCAGGCTTTTCTTTGGGAAGAATTATGAAAGCACACACCAAATTGTATCAGTGGTCTCTCAACAATGTATCTACATTTAAAATGCTTGATGTGGACTCCCACGGAGGTCAAAGAACAACTTGCAAGAGTCAGTCCATTCTTTCTACCATATGGTTCTTAGGATCAAACCTAGGTTGCCAGGCTTGGCTATAAGCCCCATTTCTAAATAACCTTTAAACACTCGCTCACCTTAGCAGAAGCAATGCAGTGGATATCCAGACCCTGTTTCTCTCAGCCTGGTGCACCAGTTGAATGTCTCCGTGTGCTTCCTCCACCCCTGGATGATACGTTCCCTCTCGTGCAGGCTCTGACCTCAAATGGCTTTCTCAGTCTCTCCAAAGCCTTAATCATCTCCTCAGGAAGGTGTAACTTCCCAACTGAGTTATTGTGAGCAGTAAATGAGATAAAACAAATGGGGGGTCAATTAATGCCACTTCTGACTAATTTGTGCCACCCTAATTATCGTCTGATTTCCCTTTGGCCAAACTCATCTCAAAATTATATAACACAGGAAATCTAAATTGTATTTATCCGTTCCATAATTACATCTTTTATTATAAATTAAGTGTGCACTTCAAGCAAAGACCAGGCCAGAACATGGGAAATGAAGAGAGGGGGTGGGAAGTCACGGGCTACAATTCGCAACCTGCTTTTTATATAACACAGGAAAAGTAAACTCATGAGAGCTGGATTAGGAAAATTCAACCTTAAAATACACACAGTTTGTGATCTCTGCAAAGAATAAAACATTTTCGCTTCAGCCTCTACCTTCGCCAGAGCCCTAGCTTAACCAAACAGGACAATTAAACCAAGATGGAGAATCCAGACAAGGCTCAGCTTGGCTGGCCTTCTCTGTTCCACTGCCCTCAAGTAGTATCTCACCCGGGGCTGGAAGACTAACTTCCAAGATGGCTGACGCCCATGGTGGCAAGTGAGAGGTAGCTGGGATATCCCACAATGTACCAATTTGAGGAGCAATCCATTTTGGGGTTTTTTGTTTGTTTGTTTGTTTTGGTTTTTTTTGGACCGGGTCTCTCTTCATATCCCTAGTTGTCCTGGAACTCACTATGTAGCCTCGGCTGGCCTCAAACTCACAGAGATTTGCTGGCCTCTGCCTCCCAAGTTCCGGGATTAAAAGTGTGCACTACTATATCTATAGCAGTCCAAATTCTTTCACAACAATTACCTTTCCCACAGAGGAAGCGATCTGAGAGATAAGCAGAAGCTGTCAGTGTCTTAAGGCCTGGCCCTGGAGACTAATAGCTGCTTCTGACAATGTCCGTGCAGCAAAGTGGTCGGAGGCCCTTTAGGGAGGGAAGCCCAGGTTCCACACTGTGGAAAGAGGGTCAAAGAATCCACGGCCGTGTTTCAGCTTTTCCCTTCCTAACACCAGCCTTGCATGTCAGAGCTATAGACAAGTGGTTTCTCTAGGTTCTGCTGTCCACTTGCTCTCTGTCCCTCCTGCACTTCTGGTTCCTAAACCCCGGATCTCGGCTCCTCTCTCACACTTGCCCATACTCAGCTCTAGTGACAGTCTTGGGAGTCCCGCCATGTCTACATGACTTCATGTTAACCAAGAGCTTTGCAATCCTGCAGACCTGGGTCAGATCCAACTTGCTTATTATTTAATAGACTTTATTTTATGTAATTTATCATCGAATACTTGAGTCGTCAACTGAAATGAAAAAAAAAAACACCTGATAGGATTGTTAAGTTTAGCAAATAACATATTTGGCAAAAACTTCGGGTCTGACAATATCAAATGTTAGCCAAGGTGCTAATTGAAGAATTAATGCTCATGAGAGAATCACCCACTTTAGTTAGCCAGTGTTTCAACTAAAACTAAAGACTGTAACATGCACAACTCTACTCTTGGGCAGGAACACCCAAGAAAATCCTTATGAAAAGCTAATGAATGATTAGAGATGTCACACTTATCATGTTCTAGGCCCTGGGTTCTATCCCCTGAACTGCACCTTTAAAGGACTGCTAATAGAATCACTCCTTTTTTTTTTTTTTTTTTTTTTGGAGATTGAACCTGGAGCTAGGCAAGTGTTCTGCCATTTATCTATATCCTCAAATCAGAAGAACTCTTTGGAATTGCCCCAAATTTGAAATCACCAAAATATTGACGAGAACGGATAACAAATTGGCCATGAGTATGGCCACAGCCACACATATTAACAGGCGATTTCACTGCCATGTCAAACAAAAGGAAGTAATGTGTATAAGACTACATAAAGTATAAGATCATCTTCATACGGCTTAAAAACATGAAAAGTGAGGTTGTCCATTCTTAGGGATATGTACTTGTGTGTAGTTAAAATCAGAAAAAACATCCAAGTCCTGAACTCTCAAGCTGGGAAGTGTTCATCATTTTATCGTCTTACAACTGTGCAACTTCTAAAAATTGTTTATTCTTTGTGTGTGTGTGTGTGTGTGTGTGTGTGTGTGTGTGTGTTGGTGCACACATCATAGCACACATGTGGAAAACAGAGGACAGCTATGTGGACTCTACGTGGACTCGCCCAGGGTTTACACTCCTGTCAACCCCCTTCACCCACTGGGGGATCTTATTGACCCCATGACTTTTAATGTTTTAGCTATGCAACTTTGAAAAAGAATACAAATTCCTCCATTGAAATGCTGCTAGGTGTTTGGTGGTATTTTTGTTTGTTCCTCCCATGCAATGATTTCATTGCACTTTGCAACTCCATGCAGATTTGGGTAAAATGTCAAGTAGCAAGTTATGACATAATCTTATGAAAATGGTGGAATAAGTACTTCTAGTGTGGGGAACAAATGTGTTCGCTATTTTATTTAAATTATTTGTTATTACTTGGTTGGGTTTTGCGTTTGGGTGCTGGAGACTGACCCTAAGCCTCCTACATGCTAAGCTAAGCACATGCTTCATGACTTAGTCATACCCAAGCCTGACTTATTTATTCTTCATACCTTTTTATGAATGAAATATTTGACAAAAAGTTGGTATTTTGTCTTTTGGATTTTTGTTTTTCTTTGTTAGGTTTCATTTTCGTGAGACAGGATCTCATTTGGCAGCCCATGCTGATCAGGAACTCACAATAGTCCTCCTGGCTCCATCTCCTGGGTTCTAGGATTACAGGCGTGAGCCACCACACCCATATTCAGTATGTAACACAAGGCCCGGTAGGTAACAGCACCTACTTATCCCTTGTATTTCCTGAACTGCCCCTCACTCCATCCTTAAGACAGAGAACTGTGTTCCCATTTCCACATAGCTCAAACAGGCTTAAAATTGGGGTCATGAAAAGTACTTAAGGCCAATTACCTGGATCTGAACCAAGGGAGCTGCAATAAATGTTAAGAACAGTGACCCTTTTTGAAGGTGGTAAATCAAATCTGTAGCTATGCCAGTGATCACACACTAGCAGTAAATGGATTTTTGAAAGTGCTGATCTGAAAGCAAGTCATACCAATGTACACTCCTGGTTCTGCTTACCCTCCTATGCCACCCAAAGAACTCTAACCAGAAGTCCTGATGTGCTCAGTCTAAGCGGCTTGCTTCAGGATTCTCAGCCCTGCAAGAATGCTGGAGTTCCCACTAGAGATTTAAACATCTTGACACCCAGGCTTTACCTATGTGGAATCATAGAATCCCTGGAAAAGACCTATGCCCAAGGCTGAGAACCGCTGGACCATTCTGGTCCTCTCAGGAGAATGAAGGCCCTCGATAAAGGATGCCAACTGTGAGCTCCAGCTGTCGTCATTCCTTCTTATTGCTTGAAGTTTAGGTTCATGGAGGATTCAAACACCATAAAGAGACTATGCAGGGTTAGGAATATCACAGAGAACCTCAGGAGTTGACACTTGTCTATCTGCTCTCCCCATGAGCCTCAGTAGAACTCCAAATCCACCCAACAAGAAAACCACATCTCAGGGCAGAGTGTGAGGGAGACAAGGAAGCTCTTCTTTACAGTGAATGCCACTTAATAATTGTGCGAGGAATGAGAGAACTAGGAATCCAATTATGACGTCTCCTTAGTGGTTAGAGACCCACACAAGATCCACCTGCAGTTAGTGAAGCCACTTGGTGCAGGATGGTCACGTGATGACATCTGACCGTCACCCCTCAGATAATGCACCACTCTTCGGAGCACAAATACGTTGAAAAGGGAGAATGCCAGCACATGCCACCTGAGTGGGCCGGGGAGCCATGGCAGCCCGGCTTCAAGCCCAGCCCGCTCTGCTCTGCTCCTGGAAACTCTTCCGGGATTGTTTGCCAGTGGCCATGGGCTTGCTCTGCTCAAAGAGGGCTTGGAAGACACTGGAAAAAGGAAGAGGAACTTCCTTGGGCTCTGCTTCCTTTTCCGGAAAGGTAACCTCACACTTCTTCCCTCAGCAGCGTCTCCTGGCTGCCCAGTTCCCCTTTGGCTCTCACAGACCTGGCTGGTCCTCATAGCGCTTACCCTCACCGGCCACTAGCACTGTTCTTGGCAATCTTGGCTCCCACCCACAAAAACTCACCCATTCCAGTCTTCCGCAAGGACACAGCGCACAAGGTCCCCCTGTTGGTAACTCCATCCCTTCCTTTCTCCCTCCTGCCTTCTTCTTGCTGCTTCAGTGATGCCTCAGAGTCCTCTTCGCTGTCTCGGTCACCTGGTCAGCATTTTACAGCTACTTAACACCTAAAATTCAAAGACTAAATTCTCTGTTGAAATAACTATTATGGGGGGCGGGGGTGGAGCGATGGTTCAGGGGGTGAAGTGTCCCCATGCAATCGAGGGGACCAGAGTTCAGATCTCCCGCACCCAAGTAAATGTCAGGTAGGTGTAGAAGCTCACCTGTGGTTCCAGCATCCCAAGGGGGAGACAGGGGATCCCCAAAGCAAGCTGGCTAACAAAGCTGGACAAAATGACAAACTTTGTGTTGAATTGAGGTGGAGAGTGATTGAGGAAAACACACACACAATTAAAAAACAAAAACAAAAATTAAAAAGCCCACAACTTCTGTCTCCTGATTGGATCCTGATGCAAACTGGTACCAGGAGTGGGATGTGTACCCACCCTCTGCAGTACACATACACCTGTCTAAGGCATATGTACTACTTCCTGCTCATTAGGACTCAGTGGTGCAATCAAACTTGCCATCACCAATGAGATAACTGATGACTTCAGGTACTTGGCTTTGGAGATGGTAACCACATGTTGAAGACGGAACCAGACAGAGAGAGCCTGTCTTTGTACCCTGATCACCCTGAAGCTGTTACAACAGACTGGGATTTCTTGTCATGGGGAGAAAAACAAACTCTCTTCATCCTTGAGGTTTTATGTCATTCACAGCTCAACCTAAACTGAAGCAATACAAGGTCACACACTCTTAGCTCAGACTTCAGATGAAGTTACCGTTTCAGAAAAACTGCTTGTCACATCATACACTCAAGAGAAGATGCGTGGAGGATCAATGCCGAGTAGACCATTACCTTGTCAGGAAAGCTGCAAAGTCCAGGCATAGTGATACAAGCCTGGAATCTCAGTAGTGGGGAGGCTGAGACACAGGGATGCCACAGATCACCCTGAGTTACACAGATAACTCAGGAAGGAGGAAGAGGAAAACAGAAAGGCCACAATAAAAGCATGATCAGCAACCGCAAAAAAGAAAAAAAATCCTGCTTAGAGACTAGCATCAGTCACTAAACACGACCGGGGGCTGAGGTCAGCCATGGCACAGATCACATGCATTATTTTATTTAATCCTCATGAAAATCCTGGGACATAAGTGCTGTCGTCATCGACAACCTTTAGATGAGCAACCAGCGCTTAGATGAATCAGCCTCCCAGGCCACCCAACTGGAAGGGGCAGAGCTAGAACCTGAGCCCCGACAGGTCGGGTCCCAAAGGCTGTGCTTCTCAGTCCACTACTACGGCACGGGGAGACATCCCACTGGCAGTGAGATCTCTGCTTCCACAGGAAGCTCGGAGTGCAAAGCCTTCCTCTATGGTCGGTGATGATTCTATGTGGGAAGAACTAGACCCATCTAAAGGAGAAACCAGGTTCTAAACACAAGCGCTACTTACCCACTCTCTGCTCCCCTGCTGATGTGATTCTCAGAAGGCTGGTAAGGCTGAACACACTGAGGCCAGCGGAGAGCTTGCCAGGCGCCAAGATGTCAGGTAAAAGAAAATTACCTTCACTCCAGATCAATAAGGCACATGTGAGACCCATCAAAGGACTGTTCAACTAATGGGCCATATTGATTAATATTCCCAGGAGCTGGCTCCCCAAACATTTTAATTGAAATTAAATTTAATAGAGGCTTTTAGAACAAGCCAGAAGTCGATGGGTACATGTTTTCAGGCTGGAGGACATTCTCCAATGGTTCTTCACACAGTACAGGCTCCCTCGGGGACCCCCAAGGGTCTATTGTCCTTCACGCTAAACTACAAAGCACTAGTTCACTTGAGGAACTGAGCTGGGAATCCAGCTGCTAGCCGTTATTGTGTGAAGCAGGACACAGTGAGCTGAAGATTATATTTTTCCAATTAGCACAGTGGGAAACACTGTGAGGCATTCAGCTCCAGCCTGCAATTAGAGAACATTTGCTTCCAGAAATAGAATGAATGGAAGTGGAGACCTGCTATCTAGGTCTTCAGCAATAATATCCCAGGCAGGGAGACCTGCTACCCTTTCCCAGCAAATAACTGTCTTGCTCTTTTTTAAAGGAAGCATTCTGCCCTGCACCGCAGTGTGCTCGGCAGAGACCAAGCCCCCCAGCCTCATTCCCAGCTATATCAACAGCCCAGCCTTCAGGAAGACAAGCACTCCGGGTGTTTCATTTCAGTACTCAATACACTCCATCACAAAAGCAGGTTTGGTAGGAGCATCTTCACCTTCTCCACTGATGTCCAGCTACCCGACCTTTCTCAAGCCTCTGAACTGTACTATCTCTCAGACGAAACAGTAAAAGTTGAGGAGGTGACAACTGGACGGCTCCGTGAGCAAACTGCCTGCCACACGAGCGTGAGGACCTGAGTTCAAAATCCCCAGCATCCACATACAAGCCGAGCACGGCAGTGCGTGTCTGTAACACCCACCACTGGGAGGCAGACACAGGAAAATCCCCTGGAGC